AGCAAGTCTCCTCAATACTCCAGCACTCTTCTTAGTATTCTAGCTGTTTTCAATAATGCCATCATCTGGATGGTTCCAACTCAATGAATGTTCTCACCATTAGTAATTGATGCCTTACACTGGAGATTAAGTGACAGCAAGTCTCCTCAATACTCCAGCACTCTTCTTAGTATTCTAGCTGTTTTCAATAATGCCATCACCTGGATGGTTCCAACTCATTGAATGTTCCCACCATTAGTAATTGGTGCCTTTACACTGGAGATTAAGTGACAGCAAGTCTCCTCAATACTCCAGCACTCTTCTTAGTATTCTAGCTGTTTTCAATAATGCCATCATCTGGATGGTTCCAACTCATTGAATGTTCCCACCATTAGTAATTGGTGCCTTACACTGGAGACAAATTACTCAGATAGCTGACATCAAGTTCCAACCATTGAATGTTCATCATTGTAATTAGTGACAGCAACTCACTGTAGTCTAACACATGATTGCTTAATATTGCAGACTACATGCAATTATCTATTGGCCATCAGATTTTAATCGTCTAGTGAACAGAGAAATGATTGTACTTAATATTGCAGACATACATGCAATTATCTATTGACAGATTTTAATCATCAATAATATGAACACTTAATAAACAATTATCTATTGACAGATTTTAATCATCTATGAGCACAAATAACAATTAATTGACAGCAGACTTAACATTGCAGAATTATCTATTGGCAGATTTTCACAATTATATAGTGGACACAAACGATTGACTTAATATTGCAGACTACATTAATTATATGTTGCAGACTTTAATAATGTAATGAACAAAAATATTGCACCTAATATTGCAGACTTGCAATTATCTATTGATGATAATAGTGAACAAAAAATATTACAGACTAGTGATGCAATTATCCATTGACAGATTTTAATCGTCTAGTGAGCACAAACATTGCAGTTAAAAAATTATCTACAATTATGACAGATTTTAACAATAATATAGTGGACACAAAAATTGATTGCAGATACATGATATCTATTTTGAAGACAATAATATAATGGACACAAACTATTCCATTGACAGCAATTTTATTGGCAGATTTTAACAAAAATATAGTGACACAAACTATTACACTTGATTGCAGACTACATGCAATTATATATTGGCAGATTTTTAACAATAATATAGTGAACACAAATGATATCTCTTAATAGCATTCTGAGACTACATGCAATCATCTATTTTCAGACTTTAACAATGAATGTAGCTAACAAATGATTGCACTTAATATTGCAGACTACATGCAATTATCTATTGGCAGATTTTAACAATAATATAGTGGACACAAATGATTGCTCTTAATATTGCAGACTACATGCAATTATCTATTTGCAATGTTAACAATAATATAATGGACACAAACTATTGCACTTAATATTGCAAACTACCTGCAAATATCTATTGATTTTTAACAAAAATATAGTGGACACAAACTATTACATTTTAATATTGCAGACTACATGCAATTATATATTGGCAGATTTTAACAATAATATAGTGCAAATGATATCTCTTTATTGCAGACTACATAATCATCTATTTTCAGACTTTAACAATCATGTAGACATGATTACTCTTTATATTGCAGACTACTTGCAATTATCTATTGGCAGATTTTAACAATAATATAGTGGACACAAATGATTGCAGACTACATGCAATTATCTATTTGCAATGTTAACAATAATATAATGGACACAAACTATTGCACTTAATATTGCAAACTACCTGCAATTATCTATTGGCAGATTTTAACAAAAATATAGTGGACACAAACTATTACACTTAATATTGCAGACTACATGCAATTATATATTGGCAGATTTTAACAATAATATAGTGAACACAAATGATATCTCTTAATATTGCAGACTACATGCAATCATCTATTTTCAGACTTTAACAATCATGTAGCTAACACATGATTACTCTTTATATTGCAGACTACATGCAATTATCTATTGGCAGATTGTAACAATAATATAGTGGGCCCAAACTATTGCACTTAATATTGCAGACTACATGCAATTATCCATTGGCAGATTTTAACAATAATATAGTGAAAACAAATGATTGCTCTTAATATTGCAGACTACATGCAATTATCTATTGGCAGATTTTAGCAATAATATAGTTGACACAAACTATTGCACTTTATCTTGCAGAGTACATGCAATTATCTATTGGCAGATTTTAACAATAATATAGTAAACACAAATGATTGCTCTTAATATTGCAGACTACATGCAATTATCTGCAATTATATTGACAGATTTTAACAATAATATAGTGAACACAAATGATATCTCTTAATGTTGCTGACTGCATTCAATTATCTATTGGCAGATTTTAACAATAATATAGTGGACAGAAATGATTGCTCTTAATATTGCAGACTACATGCAATAATCTATTGTGCTTTTAAAATACCTTTTAATGTGAAAATTCTACAGTAAATGTTTCAATAATAACAAACTAAAAATTTTTAAAAAATTAATTTACAACTGTTTTGACATTTGATATCTACTACCATGCAGGCTGTAATTACTAAGTAATACACATTATTACTATCAGTATTATGTACGATACATATTCACTTATTACTTAAAAAAGAATTACTTGTATCTTTTTTCGATATTTAGTTTTTAAATTTTTTTATTTGTCATGAAAATTAAATGATAGCATTGTAGTTGTAGGTGGGCTTCTTTTGTCTCCTGGTTACTAATATTTTTAGGCCCAGTTTGCCAATTATTTATAGAATATTTTACTGTAATTAGTTAAATTATTTCATGGTCATTTTATCTTGATAATTATGTACATTAAATGTGAACTTTAGTTTATATTGAGAAGTTAAAAATGTAAAAGTCATGGTCTCCTCATACACTGTATATCTGATATACATCAAATAAACAATTGGCTGTTCTTTTTCTTTTATGTGCTGTGTCTTTTCAAGATGTAGACAGTCATGGCTCTCCACAATTTCCTCTTTGTAGCTCTTAATAAATTTTATTTTTTGTTATCTCTTCTAAATCCTCTTCTTGTAATCACTTAATGTACTTTTTCTTCTGTTTCTCTTGCATTCATTATGTCCTGTGAGTGTCAAATTTTCTAAGCCCTCTTGCCTCATTATGTGCCCTATCTATTTATTTTGTGATAAATAAAGAAATACAGAACTGTTACATAATATCAGTCTTCCTATATAACAATGAATGCTGGATAATCTCCTAACAGATGAAGAAGATACTTGAAGCAACAGAAATGTTGTTCTACAGAAGGACACTGAGAATACCATAGACCAATCATATGAGCAATGAGGAAGTTTTAGAAGAAATGGAAACAAAGAAGACATTTATAGTTAACATCAGGAAAAGATATTTGAAATTTCTAGGGTACATAATGAGGAAAGAGGGCTTGGAAAATTTGATACTCACATGACAGATTGAAGGCAAGAAGGAAAAGAGCAAGACAGACTTGCAGAAAAATAAGAAATCTGAGTTCTAATAAAACTGGTAATGTATTCTTTCTTTTCTATTGGTGCTGTTTTACAGCATCTGTATTGATTGATTTTTATGGTTTATTAACCTTTTGCAGGTTATTTAAAGCCAGAAAATATTTTTAGATTTTAAGAATTATTTACATATTCAAGTCTTAGTAATTAACCCATAACTGGGGGGAGAAGAAGCACATTCAGACATTTCCCAAGGGTATTTGCATGTATGTGAATATAATGAACCTGACTGGAATTAGAACTTGGCTCTCCGATTTTCAATTCTCGCCAGTTATCCATTACACCACCCGCACATCTAAGCTTACAGTATCTGGTATTACCATGTAGTCACCCATCTACGTATTGACAATGCTTAGCTTCAGTTATCGTACAAGAACTTGTGTTACAACATGATATGCCTATAGAGTCTATAGAATGATGTTTCTAGTAGTTGTAACAAAAAGCAATTGAAATTAAGATGAATGTAATATGAGCTAAAAATTAATAATTAAAAGAAATTCCTTATACAAACAAGCAATAATGTTTTTTTGTCATATATACAGTATGACTGTTGGTTTCTTACAAATATTGCCATAAAAAAATTTGTGAATACAACTATTTGGAAATATTTGCTTTTTCTTGATTGATTGATTCGTTTTTTACAGCTTATCAACCCTTTGCAGGTTATTTAAAGCCAGAAAATATTTTTAGATTCTTAGAATTTTCTTTTTTTAGATAATACTGGTTTAGTGATACAAGTCTTACTAATTAACCCATAGCCTGGGGAAATCAGAATCTGATAAATTATAATGTAGACATAAAGTGGGTGATCAATTCTGTATTACAATCAGTATATAAACTGATCTCTCACTTTGTGACCACGGTAGTTTCTATACATATATATTAAATAGAGTGGAAATAAATCTGAAAAACATGCCTGTGTTGCTCATCAGTATTTGAATCATTGATTCAGTTTCCACAGCTTATCAAGTCAAAAAATATTTTTAGATTCTAAGAATTTTTTTTATGATAATAATGGTTTAGTGATACAAGTCTTATTAATTAACCCATAGCCTAGGGGAAAAGAGATGGAATCTGATAAACAATAATGTGGATATAAAGTGGGTGATCAATTTTGTATTAAACAGTAAATAAACTGATCTCTCATTTTGTGGCCGCTGTAGTTTTTATACATATATAATCCAGAGAATGTAAATAAATCTAAAAGACATGCCTGTGCAGCTAATTAGTATTTCATTGATTGATTTGTAAAAAACAGCTCATCAACCCTTTTTCAGGTTATTTAAAGCCAGAAAATTTTTTATTTTTTTTTTATAATAATGGTTTTTTTTATAATAATGGTTTTAGTGATATCAGTCTTACCCAGAATTGGAACTCTGCTCTCCAATTAACAATTCTAAGCCATTATCCATTACACCACCCGCACATCCAAACTTACTGCACGTGGTATTCCCAAGCGATCGCTCATCTAGGTACTGACCAGGCTCAATGTTGCTTAACTTCGGTGATCGTACATGAACCGGTGTTTCAAAGTGATATGGCCGTAAGCCTTTGCTTCTGGTAAGAAGCTGATGTTGCTCATGATCACGACTGATAAAATATTACGATGGGTTAGAGCGACGCGCAGAAGATAATTCACTTGATAAACTTTATTTTTTGTATCCTGAAATAATTTAAAAGGATAATGCAAAGACAAAATTAACAAAAACAAAATAAATTAAATAATGGAGTTTCCGTCGTTAATCGAAGATAATGAAGCAATAGATTAACTTTTAAAAAGAAAATCGACTTGTTCTTGCTTGAACGAGGTAATGACGAATATGCAACTTTGGCAGTCAACAGCTCTCAACTGTTTGATTGATAACATGTCGTTTCCCATGCTAGAAACAAGAGAAAACAACTCATTAATGTCAATTAGTAAATGACTGAACATTGATCTGAAGAATTTTAAAAATAAACAGAAAAAATATTTTTTCGTAGTAAAAGAAAGGGTGTGATGAAAAGCTCCCGGCCTGATCCACTTTCTAAAAATCACTATTATGAGGTTTAGCTATTACAATAATTTGAAAAAAAAGGCAGTTTTTTTACCATGACTTTCTATACACTTAAATTGAAATTTTATCGGCTTAGTCGTAGAATCTCCGACTGACGCTAATTCAACAGTGTTATTATCCTAGCTAGACAAAATATGGACGTCTAGCTGTGAATTGACAAACAAATCTCTAGATCATTTTATATATATATATATATATATATATATATATATATATATATATATATATATATATATATATATATATAAGAGAGAGAGAGAGAGAGAGAGAGAGAGACAATATATTTAATTTCAAGCATGTTAAAATTAAATAATATAGACATTAAGTCTATTTATTTTTTATAATAATCTTTCCTAGTTCTCTAATCAGCTTCTTGATGTTGAGTTGAAATTCATCGAGGAAGGTGGCGTAGTTTTCGTTAACCCAAGTTCTTTCAATCTTTTCCGAGATCATCCTCAGGGTTGAACGGTGAATTAGAGAACTAGAAAAGATTATTATAATACTAAATAGACATAATATGTCTATATTATTTAATGAAACATGCTCTAATGACTGGAGTTATAATCAAAGATTTGTTAAATAAATGTTGTCTATAGGTTCGCTTGCTCCCACCCTTTGGAAAATGCCTCTATAATAATAATAATAATCTGCAACTTTACGGGAAGAAAACTGAAAGAAACTGGTATGAACACCACCCACAGGGGTTACGGAGATAGGACCTGTTACAATTCTATGGGACTACACAATACACACTGACAGAACAATCAAAGCCAACCGCCCAGATATTGTTATTAAAGACCACAAACAAAAACGGTGCCTCCTTATTGATATGGCAGTCCCTGCTGACTGCAATGTATCTTTGAAGATATTCAAAAGTTGTCAAAATACAAGGACCTTGAAATAGAAATCTCAAAAATGTGGCATATGGGGAACATCAACAATCCCTGTTGTAGTTGGAGCCCTAGGACTGGTTGGAAAAGATTGCAGTAGACTAATTGAAGGGATTCCTGGAAGTCCATGTCTCAAGGAGATACAAAAAATTGTTCTGACAAGTACAGCCCACACTTTACGAAGGACTTTATCTATGTCATTTTTTATTTATTTTTTGTCAGTGGAAAGTGTCATGATGCCATTTTTAACCTTAGGTCTCTGGGCGGGACCCGGAAAAAAATGTGTAAACGCCAGAAATCAAAGAAAATAAAAATAATAATAATAATTTAAATATAAAATATCTTGATTTCACAACCACTGCATTATCGATCCAAATAACCTGTTATTTACCGTTGAATTAAATCACACACATATTTTTTAGAAACAGAGAAAAGATTCTTGAAATGTTATAAAATGTCCTATGACGTGGTAATAAATGTTGGACAATTGATGAAGAAAGACTTGAAGCGGAAAAAAAACGTAGTTCTCTTGACGAATTATGTTAGAAATATTTAAAGAGAAAACGAACTATAAAGAAAATGCTGCTTACAATGAGAAAGATACAAGTGAAATTCTCGGTTAGCTGATAAGGGAAGAAGGCTTGGAGAATTAAATTATTCTTCAAGAACATATTTCGAGTAGCAAAATAAAGCAGAGATTCACTTAAGAAGTTTGTAAGTACAACAAAGAAAAAGAGGAGTAATACTAATTATAAAGGCGATGAAATAGATAGATAGATAGATAGATAGATAGATAGATAGATATAAACAGAGTGAAATAAATAGATAGATAGATAGATAGATAGATAGATAGATAGATAGATAGATAAAGAAACTGAAATAGATAGATAGATAGATATAAACAGAATGAAATAGATATAAACAGACAAATAGATAGATAGATAGATAGATAGATAGATAGATATAAACAGACTGAAATAGATAGATAGATAAACAGACTGAAATAGATATATAAAGATTGAATTAGATAGATTGATAAAGATAGATATAAACAGAATGAAATATATAGATATAAGCAGACACATAGATAGATAGATAGATAGATAGATAGATAGATAGATAGATATAAACAGACTGAAATAGATCGATCGATCGATCGATAGATAGATAGATAGATAGATATGTGAAAAACCTTAACGGTTAGAAAACGGTGCCAGTAATGTGATTTCGTAGCAAATGCTCTCTACTAAATTTACAATATCTCACTCGGTTCCATCACCAGATCTTAACAAATCTTTTCAGCGATATTTTATTTGCCAGAGAAGTGGTTGCATAAGTGTGTGTGTGTGTGTGTGTGTGTGTGTGTGTGATGAGAACCATTAAACCATAAGTATGCTACCTAATCAGGCAGTAGCAGCAATACTGTTAACTCTATAGTCAACCATGACAATTAAAAAAAACATTCATGTCTTTGTATATGTATGTATGTGTGTGTGTGTGTGTATTTATGTGTGTACGCGCAGGCGAGCGAGTTATTTAGTTTATGTTGTAGAAGGGTGGTTTAGCGTTTTTTTTTTGTTTTTTTTTTGCTTGTTGTGTTGAGGATAATCGAATTCAGAGAACGATACATTGAGTTTAGCACAAATTAAAAAAAATCGTCACGTTTATACGCACAAAAAAATGCCTCTGAGTATTGTCAATATTCACTTTTATATTTATATACGCTTTATCTCTGATTTTGAGCACTTTATTCCATAAATATAGAACACCTTAAAACTATATTTCTTCATATATATATATATATATCATCAAGTATAGGATTAGTGTATACAAGGAATAAATTTAATAACCAAAAAAATACTATTCAAAAAAAGAAAATATTTACAGAGTAGAGCGAATATAATTATTCATGAAAAAATTATAACATAAATATGTTATAATATCACTACAAAAAATAGCCATTTTGTTTCAACAGAAATGGTATCTTATCAAGTAATGGTATTGAATTATTTGTATATAATTATATATATATATATATATATATATATATATATAAAAAAGGCTCAAACAATAATATTCCATGGTTATAATTTATTACATTGGAATCATAATCACGATCCAATTCATCAGATCTACAAAAAAAAAGAAATCGGAAAATATAACTCCTTGTATAAAAAAATAAAGTTTTAGTGAGAATAATGTTCTTGATGTGACAGGGAAATATTTTGTGAGAAGGAAATGAAAATCTAGAGAGAGGGTGTAACAGAAGAAAGAAGGACAGGATTAATTAAAGGTGAGTGGTGGGGATTAAAATTTAACAGAGAGAAGTTTTAAAGAGATAATTTAAAATAAAGGTTTAAATGAATGAGATACAGATAAATAGGAATTATTTTCGATGCATAATTCGTTACCGATTATTTTGACCTAAATTAAAAAAGACAAATGGAATAATGTTATTGTATATGTAAATGGTGACTCTACGCACAAGAGAAAAAAACGTTATGATCTAAAACTTAAAATCCAGAAGATGAGAGAGAGAGAAAAAAATAAAAAAATAAAACTAAAATATTATCTTTTATGGTTTATTATTTTTATTATCTCTCTCTAATATTATATATATATATATATATATATATATATATATATATATATATATATATATATATATATATATATGTATATATATATATATATAAATAATATATATATATATATATATATATATATATATATAAATAGACCAAAAAGATTTGACAAAAATGACGTTACAAATGATGAATATATGCCCGAAACTAAATAGTTTTATTGTTAAAATCTTTGTTAGAAAAGACCAAAGAAATTTTTTTATTGTTAAATTATATGTATATTTTATATACATCTTCGAAATTTTGGTTTAAAATTTTGTTTTTCTTGAATCAGCGGGAGAGCATAAATTTGTATGGGTTGAGCGTTTCTTTTGTTTTTTGTTTTTGGTAAAAAAATAAATTAATTTGGACATTCTTGCAAGAATCAGATAATGTCGGATTTTAATGAAACTTTCAGGATTTATTAAAAAATAATTTCATTCATTTGTGAAAAATTTTAGAAAATTTTGGTAAATTTGTTTTCCCATCTATTACTTAATTTTATAAAATTTCGGAAAATTCATTTTTGTAGTTCTTCATGTTTGTGCATCATGTTAACTTGGAAAAGTCCGTGGAAAATGTAAATTTTTATTATTTCAAAATACAAAAAAACAACAAAATAAAAACAGGACCCCTCCCCCAGTTACAGAAAATCTGCTCTGAATCGTAAAATAAAAAATGAAAATTTGAGTTAATTGTCTTTATAAATAAATAAGATATATTAATAATTGATTTCATGAATAAGATATGGGCATTACTGTCGTAAGAAAAAACTCGATGTATAATGAATTTTAGCAAGGATAGTTTTAATTTTGTTATTTAATTTAATTTAATTTTAAATCATTTAAAATTGTATTGATGTATAGCCGTTGTATGATATTGTTTTTCTTCGATTAACAACCTTCTCAACACTTTCAAGACATACACAAACATGGGGGAATAGTGATATAGTTCGTTCTACTGAGGCTGTTCGCAGTTCCTGTCGATCTCTCTGTCTTGGGTAAAAGAGGAACCTGGAATATGTGCCGAAGGGAAAGAGTCTTTTGTTCGGTGAGGTAGAAGTCCTGAACCCGTTTATGGGGGTCTAATTTTTTTTAAACAAAGATTTTTATGGGCTCGGATGACCACGTTAAAAACTGGACAATGTGCCATATATATCCCTCGTTGGGTGGTTTCTGTTAACTCTCTCAACACAATTTTTGTCAACATTCTAACTGAAGCTAAACCAAAAGTAACAAATTAAAACAATTCGAGATTATTTATTCTTGATGGTCCTTATCAGGACTTTGGGTCTAATCGAAATCCAGGATTAAGATAATTTTCTTCCCTGGCAGTTGGACTACTCAGTTTAAGACCGACTCTTAGAATCGCCACTGACACATGTATGTATGTATGTATGTATGTATGTATAGATGGATAAGAACAAACTTAGATAGATAGATAGATAGATAGATAGATAGATAGATAGATAGATAGATAGATAGATAGATAGGAACAAACATAGATAGATATGAACAAATATATATTTACATACATTTTTAAATGACTATTGTCTTCATCTTTAAAACATAAGGACGTTTCGTGGCTGTTGTTAACTGAAAAAAAAGGCGATTGAAAATTTCGGTTCAAAATTCCAATCGCCTGAAAAGATAGATAGATAGATAGATAGATAGCAGACTGAGATATTTTGGAATAGACTGAAATAGATAGATAGATAGATAGATAGATAGATAGATAGATAGATAGATAGATAGATAGATAGAAACACACTTAAATATGGACAGACTTACATATATTGATATATAGATATGAACAGACTTAGATATAAACAGACATAGATAGATAGATAGATAGATAGATAGATAGATATGAACAAACTTAGCTTGATATATAGATACGAGCAGATAGATAGATAGATAGATAGATAGATAGAAAGATAGAAATAAAATTTTACATACATTTTATGGACAACATATTTATATATATATATATAGATATAAAAACAGATAGATATAAATGTTACATAGATAGATAGATAGATAGATAGATAGATAGATAGATAGATATGAAAAGACTTAGCCTTATTCGTTATTGGAGCCTAAATATTTTAAATCACTGGAATTCAAAAGAAAAGAAAAAGTTGTTGGATTTGACAGAAGATTATTTTTAAAATCTTGATATATCAGCTTTACGCTTTACGAGTGAACAAAGGCCATTCTACAACCAGTAAATTAAACTTTACAATTTTTTACTTTTAAACTTTTACAAATTTTTTTTTTTTTTTTTGTTTTCTTCTTCTTCTTCTTCTTTTTCCTGCAAATTCTCAAGTAATACGGCACTTTCCTCCTAAAACTAACGCATTGCAGAATCCACAAGAATTCCCTCTTGGACAAAGAATATCAGTGAAGAATTCTTACGGAAAGACCTAATAGAAAACACTTCAAATCAAAAGAAAGTTTCTTTGACGTTCTGCGTATTGCTTCGCAGCTAAGCGTCTGTTAAGAAAGCAATGCATGTCTCCAAGCGAGTTGCAGGACACCATTTTCTTATTGGCTTTAACGGTCATTAACTGTGTCTTGACTTTGAACATTTGCGGCAGCTGCAATGCCTTAACCACCCCTACTCCCACTCCTTCAGATGGCAGGAAGCATCCAGTCAAATTGACCAGTCCACTACCACCCTTTCCACTTTTTCTTCCTCCCCTTAGGAACCTGAGGAGAACAGTGTGGATGAGAAGGCAATAGGGTAGTTGGTGGGAGATGAATATAAAGAATTGTCAAATTGTGGATAGAAAAGAAAACCTTTACTAAAGAAGTGATCTATCGCTCTTGGATAAGCTATCTTCGTCCCTATCTGAACAGCTAGTACACCTTCAAGCTATATTTGGCTTACATCTTTTCAAAATCAAAAAATTCTAACGTAAGGGGAGTTAGATCTTCAGGCAATCATTGATGTTAATCTTTATTATTACTTTTCAGAAGGAACTGACTCTCAAGTAACGTTTATCTTTTTATCTAAAAGAAATATATCAAACTTACCAAAAATCAGAACTGGTGATACAGAAGATTTCATCCCCAAAATTCAAAAAGCTATAAGAATCGACAGAAAAATTCCCATTAGTTTATGGTTGTGACAAACTGAATATCTTCTGTTTTGAGTTGCTCAATATAAAGTTTTATGATGCCAGGACAAAATTGCTTCACTTCTGAAACGTTTGAAACTCGATTTTATATCCATTCACGCACTTTTTTTTTTCTTAATATATTCTGGATAAATTATATATAGACTTAAAATATGCCTTTTTTTTTTATTCCACACAAAAGTTTGCGAATAAAAACATATTTTTTTTTGTCACGGGAGTCGAATGTTTGGGGAAACACAAATAAATGAAATTGTTGTAACCTAGGGAAAGTTACTGAATAGAATAATCAAACAAAGGTTGGTAATGAACGATAATACTTAGGACAAGAACAACTCATATAAAACTCGCTAGTGGCATGTAGAAGTAGTAGTCAACTGCTAGAAGGGAGTCAGATCAATTCCACAATGAATCTCCACCTGCAGACCAACATACAGTATTTACTACTGTATTTATGTGAATGGGGATCTACCCATTATTGTCTGTAGGTATGCTACAACAATTGTTGTTTAGATATAAAAGTAATTCAATATATATTTATGTTAGTATTTCTATAGATATTTAGAGATATCTATCTATTACTATTATTATTTTTCTTCTTTCTATGCATGTATCTGTATATATATGTATGTGTATGTATATATATGTGAATAATGTATATATAATCAATCTCTATAGATATAATGTTTATATTTATAATCAATATATACATACAATGTCTATATATATAATCAATATTATATATATTTTAATATATAATAAATATATATATATATGCATATATATATATATAAAAAAGTCTCGTTTTAAAATCTCTCTCTCTCAGAAAAATCTCTCTCTATATATATATATATATAATAATCATATAAAATTGGTCTATATATAATCCATGTATATATACATATATATATAATGTTCTATATATAATTAATATATATATTTACATATGTAACATGATTTTATATATGTAATGTCTATATGTATTTTCAATCTCTCTATACATATAAATGTTTATATTTATAACCAATATACATAAAATATATGTGATGTCTATATATAATCATTATATATATAATATCTACATATATATCATCAGTTTTTCTATTATCTCTATATCTCTTTATTATATATATGTGGTCTATATATAATCATATATAGAAATGCAGAATATATGGAATATCTATGAAACAAAAAAATATATATATTTATATATAAAATATTAATATTTATATATAATAACATAAATATTTTTTCCTACAAAAAGCAATTTAAAATGCAAATATCTCTCTTATATATATACGGAAAAAACAAAAAAAAAATCCAAATATAAAAATTATGCTGTTTTAATGTTAATATGTCAACGTCGGACGATTTTTTGATCTTTAATATGTTGTATTGATAATGTTATAATTTTGAATATGTCCTAAAAGATGGTTTATTAACCTGAAACGTCCGAGTTGTTGACATATTAACATTAAAACAGGATATGGAATAAATGATTTTTTTTTTTTCGAATATTTTTTTTATATATATATATATATATATATATATATATACATATATATATATATATAATGTTCTTTTTCATTTCCTATTTCTCTCTCTCTCATATATTTATATATATATAGAAATGAATATTGAATTTCAATATGAGAGGCAAAGGATAACTATCTTTGATCATTTGATGAAATGATTAAATTTGGCATCGAAATATATATGCATTTTTGTAAAATAAAATTTATGTTCGAATATGATTGTTTATTATATTATTATATATATATTTTATTTATATATATATATATATATTAAAAAGCACCTGAAAAGGCTTGATATAGAAAAAAAATTAAAAAATTTTGCATCTGTATTTTTGATAAATGAGATGTTTCAAAATATTTTTCGAAAAAAAATTGTATCATACATTGTTTTTTTTTTTTTTTTTAATTGACACTGCTATTTTTATTCAATTTTTTGACAAATTTTGAATGTAGCTTTAATAAAGTTTCATGTTTTAAATTAAAATAATAAAAACATTTTTGCAAATTAAGTTGTAATAGATAATTAATTTTTATAGATATGATTTGGTGTATCTTTTTTTTTAATATTTCTAAATGAAAATACAGCAAGATGAATATTCAGTAAATCTTATTAGAGAAAAATATGCGTTCTCCGGCAGGATTCGATCCCGTGGTCCCATAGTAAAAGTGAATAGTACCTTTCAACTTAGATTTTTCTCTGACTTTTGAATCTTTCTTGGAATAGATATATCTGCCCAGTTCTGTTCCCCAATATACTGTTTAGTAAATGAACGTTGCGTCTACTTCAATAAGAGTATCCACTAAAAATAACGTTTAAGTAATAAAAATCTGTTGGATTAATAAATAAAAAAAACATTTGTTTCTTTAAAAATTGCTTGCTTTGCGTCAGGTTACGAAACTGGGCACATATGTCTATTTCAAAAGTCAGAGAAAAAGCTGTTTAAAGGCACTATTCAACTTTGCTTGGCCATCAACGCAATCTGTAGTCGAGAGGTCAAAACACATCAAATCTAGTAACGGTATATCCTAGAGAAATACGGGTCCGAATCCTGCCGTAGAGCAAAAGTTTTAAAACTAAATAAGATTTTCGAATATTTTTTTTTAAAGGAAAATAAATATACTTTTTAATAAATAAATAGAACGTCTGCTCAGATTAAAAAATATCCACAATTTTAACGTTTAACTCCATAAAGATATGTCGGATTAATAAGTAAACAATGATTTTTTTTAGAATTAATAAATATAATATATATATATATATATATATATATATATATATATATATATTAATGCATATATATATACATAATATATATGTTTAAAATATAATATATATATATGTTGTGGTAGGATCCACCTAATTTGCATAGCGGAGTACCGACCATATAAATATGGTTGGTACCGGGAAGAAAGGGGAGGAATCAAGAGATTCAACCAGAGACTCTGCCCCACTGCGACTCAGTCAACACATTCTCCAGGAACGGTCTTACCAGGAATATACAAAAGACTATATGTAAATATTGTGTACACTTTCTTGTTTCAATACATTTTGTTCTAAGTACATTTTGTGTTGCATTATTATTCCATGCATTCAAGTTTCAACAAACTTAATAATAATATATTTATAAAAAAAAAAATTTTTTAATTAAAATTTATATATATATATATATATATATATATATATATATGAAATGAATGAAAAAAAAAAAAAAACTATAATTAGAATACCATTCTAAGAAAAAAGGGAGACCATGTCAAATGAGGATATAAATTTATTTAAGATTTTATTTTTAAATCAATATAAATATACAAGAAAAATTTTTAATTTCATCATATCATTTTAAATTTGATAAAAGTTTATGATTGTTTCAAATTAAAGGTTGAAAAAACAAAGTAAACACAAAAATTTACATGAAACTACAAAAAATGTTTATTGAAAAATTTTCCTTAAATATTCAATTTTTTGTCTAATTTTTCCATGAGAATTTAAAAATAAAAAACATTTTTGAAAAATTTATTTTAAAAATGTTGACTTTATTTACAAGAATTTTCCAAATTTAAATTTTATTTTCAGAAAAAATTTAAATTTAAAATATAAATATTAATTAAAATATAAATATAAATATTATATAAATATATATATAATAACCATTATATGAAAATATATAAATTTTTTTGTTATGTATTTAAAATAAAATAATAGAAATGTTTTATATAAATCATAAATTTTCATAAAAATATAAAAAACCAACTTAAGAAAAATATATATAAGGAAATTTTAGAATAATTTTATAAATAAAATGAAATTTAAAAAAGATTTTTTTTTTTTTTACCAAAATATTATTTTTATAATTTTTTCCTTTTTTTTGCAGAAATATACGAAGAATCCAATTGAAATATATTTATATTATCTAATTTTTTTTTATAATTATTTTCATAATGAAAATTGAATTAAAACTGTTTACCCATTTTTTTAACTCCACCAGTTAAAACCTGGATTAATACAATGAACAATTTTAAAATAAAAATTTTGATTTCAAATATTTTAAATCAAATTTAATATTTTTTTAATTTTTTAAAATAGAAAATAACAAAATAAATAAAAAAATAATTTATGTTTGAATCAGGTGAAAAATTTTTTATATAATGAAAAAATATAAAGAGCGATAAAAATTTGAAATTGAATTAAGGGATATTAATTTATTTTGCCTTCAATATAGAATGACAGAATTGTTAAAAATAAATAGGGCTCCTTCAATAAAATCCAATTTTATATTTAGCTTTGGGGAATAAATTATCCATAAAATAAAAAGGTATGAAAAAAACAATATAAAATTTGATTTTGGAAATAAATCAGAAAAGCTATTATTTATTTTATCAAAAACAAATTTTTTAAAATATATTTATATATAAAAATATTTAACAGTAATTAAAAATAAAAACATATATAAATATAATATAAATATATATAATGTCCATCAGATTGATTTGTAACATATTGACGCTTTCATTGAAATTAAACAACAAAGATCATTTTGAATCATTAATTAGTTTTTTATCAAAAAAAGAATTTGTATAATTTAATGAAGATAGTTTGCCATAAAATATATGAACCATGTAAATTAAATTTACCCATAAAGACCATATTTTATTTAAAAATAGGATCCAAGTTTTTCCAATGATGAAAATATCTTTAGGAAAAAAAAGTTTTTAATTCCAAAAGTTGGATAAATAAATTTTAGTCGTATAAATTTTTAATTATTAAATGAAAAAATCGATTCAATTATTAAAAAATATAATTCATAAATATCAAATGATATTAAATGATAAATGAAAAAAATTTTATCATATTTAAAATAAATTAAGGGCCAAACACAATTTAGAATTTTAAACAAATTAAAAAGTTTTAAAAAGTATTAATAAAAGAAATTGAGGTGATTTATAGTTTATATTATTTTTTATTAGTTCCATTATATGTTTATAAAGAAATTTTGAAACTTAAAAATATTTATATCAAAAAATATAATTCATAGATTTTTACAAAATTATTTGAAAGATTTTAAGAATTGATAATATAATATATGTAAAATAAATTATAATATTTAAAAAAAAAAAATTAAAAAAAATAATTTAAAAATTTTATTTAAAAAAATTTTTTCATTAGAAATTTTTTTAGAAAAAAAATTTTATTTATGAATCTACAAAGAATTATTTGAAATGGCAAAAAAAAATAAAGAAACATTATGTTTTTCCAAACTAAAAAAAATGTAAATAAAAAAAAAAATTAATTCAATAAAAATACCAAAAATTTATTTTAATTATTTATTTTTTATTTTCATAACCAAAGAGAAATATAATATATTTCCAATTGAAAAATAGAAGAACAAAAATAAAAAATTAACAAAAAAAGATTGAAAATGAGGGATCATATTTTTATATATATTTAGATTTTATAAATTTAGATATATTTTTTATAAAATGAGAGACTGAAATGTTGAAAGAATTAAATTGAAATTCAGAAAAAAAATGAATTTAAATAAATGGTGAACCAATTTATAAATTTAGAAAATTAGAAGATTAGAAGGGAAAAAATAGGAAAAATTTGAAAGTATGAATAAATATATATAAAATTCACTGAATTAAATATAATGTATATATATATATATAAAAAAAATATATCTAAAATTTTTTTGAATGATTTTTTCTTTATCAATAAATTTCTTCAAAATTAAAATTTGAACTTTTAAAAAAATATATTCCGAAATATTATAGAAACAATAATTTTAAACAACATTTTTTTTTGAAAAAGATCTAAAACAAAGATAAGGAAAGAAAGATTTTATATATTTATTTTCTTTAAATTAGAATTTTGAGAAAAGAAATGCTAATGGACCATGTTTGTTTGGAAATAAATGAAAAAACGTAAAAAAAAATTTAACAATCCAAATTAAAACATGAAAAAAAAGACAATGTTTTTGAAAAAGAAAAAAATTATCATTTTCGTTTTTAAAATGAATAAAATTGTGAAAATTTTGTTAATAATTATTTAAACTTATTGTCAAAAAAGAGACCAAAATTCATTTTGGAGAATTTCTCAGTCCTTTAATTGAAAAGGAAAACAAATTCATTATCAATTAAAAAAAATGGTTAGAAAATTTTGATAAATAAAAATTTTTTTTTTAAAAAGTTTATTAAAGAAACAATTTGAAAGAAAGAAAAAAAAAGATCTTATTAAAAACATAAAAGAAAATAAAATTATCAGAAAGTTTGTTAAAATTAACATATTTTTTTAGGTTTGAAAAATGTGTTTCAGAGGATTAATTTAGAACAAAAATAATTTTATTTGAAAATAAAAACATTTTTAGTTTTTTTTTTTCTGTTCGATATCTGATCAATTTTTAGAAAGAAAGAAAGGTAAAAAAAAAGTAACATAAAATGAAATAAAAGAAAATGCCATGATTAAGATTTGGATTTAAAAATATTTTTGTCACTACTAGAGTTTTGAATTCAAATTTAGAATGAAACTTGAGTCATTTTAGTAGATTTAGTAAAGGGGGTATATTCAGGTATAATAAAAAATCTAGAAAATATTTTGAAAATTTAATGAAAAAATATCTTTAAAGATTTTACATAGTAAATATTGAAAAATTTTGATTAAATTTAAATTGATGAGAAATCATTTTCTATTTTCGAAAAGACCAAGAAAGAAAAAATATGTCCAAAGAAAATTTTTGAAAGAAAAAAAAAAATTTAAAAAAAAGAAAGAAAAAGAAAAAATATTTTCATTAGAAAGAAAGAAAAAAATAAAGAAAGAAAAAGAAAGAAAAAGAAAGAAAGAAAAAAAATACATGAAAGAAAAAGAAAGAAAAAAAAGAAAATGAATTGATGAATGATTAAGAAAGAAAGATTTAAAAAAATTTTAAACAAATAAAATTTGATTAAGAAACAAGGAAAATGAATTCAATATGTTTAAGAAAAAAGAATTAAATATGTTAAAGAAAGAAAGAATTCAATATGATTAAGAAAGAAAGAAAGAAAGAAAGAAGGAACGAAATTCAGTATGATTAAGAAAGAAGGAAAATGAATTCAATATGATTAAGAAAAAAGAAAGAAAAAAGAAAGGAAAAAGAATTTATTATGATTAAGAAAAATATGATTAAAAGAAATAATTCAATAAGATTAAGAAGGAAAAAAAGAATGAAAACAAAGAAGAGAAAAAAAGAAAGAAAAAAAAAGAAAAAAATGAGAAAAGAAATCAGCAAAAAGAATTCAATATGATTAAGAAGGAAAGAAAGAAAGAAAGAAAGAAAGAAAGAAAAAAAAGAATTCGATGTGTTTAAAAAAAGAAAAAGAAAGAAAATTTTTTAATTATATTTAAGAAAAAATTTTTAGAAAGAAAGAAAGAAAGAAAGAAAAAAAAAAATGAATGAAAAGAAAAATCAAGTCAAATTTTAAAAAAAAAACAAAAGAAAGAAAGAAAGAAAAAAGAAAGAAAAGGAATATCATATGATTAAAAAAAGAAGAAAAATATTTAATATGTTTAAGAAAGAAAGAATAAAAGAATTCGATATGTTTAAGTAAGCAAGATAGAAAGATAAAATAAAAAAGATAAAATAAAATAAAGAAAGAAAGAAGATGAAAAGAAAGAATTATTATGTAAAAATAAATAAATTTTAAAAAAATAAAGAAAAAATGGAAAAGAAAGAAAAAAAAGATAAAAGAAAGAAAAGAAAAAAAAGAAAGAAAAGAATTGAAAATAAAATAAATAAAAGAAATAAAAAATAAAAAAAGAAAGAAAAAAAGAAAAAAAAAGAATTTAAAATAACTAAAATAAATAAAAAAATAATTTAAATAAAGAAAAAAAGAAAGAAAGAAAAACTTTTTAATTTTATGCTTAATAAATAAAAATAAATAAATAAAGAAAGAAAGAAAAGGAAAAGAATTTTTTCTTTTAATTCAGTATGCTTAATAAATAAATGAATAAATAAATAAATAAAGAAAGAAAGAAAGAAAATAATTCAGTATGCTTAATAAATAAATGAATAAATAAATAAAGAAAGAAAGAAAAGAATTCAGTATGCTTAATAAATAAATAAATAAAGAAAGAAAGAAAGAAAAAGATAAAGAATTCAATATTATTAAGAAAGAAAAAGAATTCAACATGAGTAAGAAAGAAAAAATGAATTTCATATAATTAAGAAAAAACGAAAAAGTTTGCCATATGCTTAATAAAGAAAGAAAAAAAGAAAGAATTTAATATGATTAAGAAATCTAAGTATTCAGTATATGATTAACAAATAGACATCAGTAATTCAATATCAGATTAAGAATTCAATTTATGATTAATGGAGAAACAAAGAAAGAACGAGAAAAGTCACCTTTTTACCTATCATCTTACCAATTTTGTAATTGCAAAAGTGCTCCAAAAGAGAAAATCCACTTCTCACAGAATTGATATTGAATATTAAAATAATTTGATGAGAAGGAAAGAGGATGTATCTAAAATATCTTCTATATCGAAAAATGTATTAAGAAATTATGGACATAATTAATGCAGAACTAAAGGTACGGCACGTTTTATAAGAGACAGACTTAAGTGTTAGCATGGTTTGGTTTATTTTGTTTTACGGCATATCAACACCTCAATGGGTTATTTAATGTCGACAAAAAATTTTATTGCTGGTAATATTTTGTTTTGTCAAAAATCTGTTTCTGGTAATATATTTCCTTCAAAATTGTATTGCTGGTAATAATTTTTTTTTCAAAAAAGTATTGCTGGTAATAGTTAACTATTTGCACATAGCTGGGACCCTAACAAGTGGTACCACCCCGGGTTAGGGTGGATCTGGAAACACCAACAATTAAGGGGTGGTTCCACGCTCCTCAAAACCTCCTGATCTTGCAAAACCTCCTTGCTGCTGGACGTAGTTTAACGTCTTACCCAGGACGCGGATGTAGTTTAACGTCTTACCCAGGACGCGGATGTAGTTTAACGTCTTACCCAGGACGAGTGTTAGCATGGTGTAGCACATTAACTTCCTCTCTCTTTACACACACACACACACACACACACACCCACACACACACACACACATATGTATGTATTTCAAACACTTTGTGTGAATTCAATAATTTTTTTCATTATTATGTCAAATAGGTTTGTATTTGGGAATATAATAATAAGAGGATGTCATCTATAAATCCTAGATAAGTAGAGCTGTTTGGTAAAATGTGTCTAAATGGAATGGATTCTAAGAATTCTAGGAAAAGGCAACAAGAACAACACTGATAGGTGATTTCATAAGTAAGTCAAATTTTTGCTTGTAGAGAATATTGTTGAAAGAGAAGAAGCAGTGCTTAGTTTGCATATTTTTTATCATTTTGTGGACAGGTAAAGGTTCAGAAAACAGGGATTTTTTTGAGGTGGTTTTCAATAGGTTGACACATTTCATGATGGGTATGTTTTGTATAATGATTTCATGTCTATTATTCGCCATGTTTTCCATATTTATGTTTTGTATTCTGTAGATTAAGTCACAAGAGTGTTTGCTATGTATCATGTTGATGGTTTCTAGGAATGAAGTTAGGACATTTGCCATGGTTTCTAGTTAATTTGTGGGATGCACTATTGATACCAGACACAATTGGTCTGATTGGTATGTAAGGTTTGTGCGTTTTAGGTAAATATAGTGTGGGTGTGATAGTAGGGTATCCTACTAATCTGGTCCAGGATTTGTTTTCATTTTTAATAGTTTCCTGTTTGTTCATTGTTTTTTGTGTAGCCATGGGTCAAGAGGGTAGCTGCTGGAAGACCCTGTGTCTGGCAACAGGAGACTGCACCACACAAGCAGAAGAATGCAGTCATGGCTGTCAGATAATTTTTGTGACCACATCACGTTACATCTGGCTATCTCGATTATTATGTGTGCAGTGCAGTTGAGTGAGAGATCAACAAAACTCCTTTTTGTAACACCAAAGCTGAACTCAAGTCAAGGATTATGTCTGCATTCTACAAATTAAACAAGGAGAACACCCAGAAGAGTTGCATAAGATTCCAAAGTCATCAAAATATGTAGTTGAAGCCAATGGCAATTTTATTGAATAAATTTACATTTTAGTATTTCAAGATATATATTATCTGTAGCTAACTGACAAGTTTTATTTGTATTAATCATATATATATATATATATATATATATATATATATATATATATATATATAAGACATTTTATGTTGATACATACTTTTTATATATACAAATATATAAGCAAATGCTCTGTTTTATAATAAATATTTATTAATAACATTTACCGGCCTGAAATACCGAGAAATTTTTTTATAGAAAATATGTGTCCTCCGGCAGGAATCCAATCTGTATCCTCTACGGAACCGTCATTTAGCCTGACGCGCCTAAACCGATCGTGCCGCTGGTATTCTCAGTATCCTTCTGTAGAAACATATTTTCTAGATTCAAGTCCCTTCATTTGTGAGAGGATATTGTCCAGCATTCACTGCCATATAGGAGGAATGATATTACATAACAGTTCAGAAATCTTTTTTTTCTTTCTTTTTATTCTCTTCTTCATCAATTCCTTCATTGCCATATAATTTTTTTCTGATATTACATAAAGTTCAGTACTCTCATTGCTTCAAGTCTTTATCATCTGTGAGGAGATTGTCCAGCATTCACTGCTATATAGGGAGGACTGATATTACATAACAGTTCAGTATTTTTTTCTTTTTTTTTTTTTCAAGTCTCTTCTTCATCTGTGAGGAGATTGTCCAGCATTCACTGACATATAGGAGGACTAATATTACATAACAGTTCAGTGAATTTTCTTTTTTTCTCTTGCTTCAAGTCTCTTCTTCATCTGAGAGGAGATTGTCTAACATTCACTGCCATATAGGAGGACTGATTTTACATAACAATTCAGTATTTTTTCTTTTGTTTCTCTTGCTTCAAGTCTCTTCTTCATCAATGAGGAGATTGTCCAGCATTCATTGCCATATAGGAGAATTAATATTGCATAACAATTCAGTGCTCCTTTCTTTATTTTTAACGAAATTTTCCTGATTATGTAAAGAAAAAAGTAAGAAATATTTTTCTGTAATATTATCGCGATCACAGATGATAAACGTCTGTTGTTTCGATAATAATATTATAAAATATTTTTTATTCTATTTATTACATACTTTATTTTTGTGTTCAAACAGTTCTTCGATTGAATATTAATGTTTGAATGGAAAAATATTAAAAATACACTCTTTATGATATAAAATTTACATTTCATTTTGATGTTGTAGCTACCGACTTGAATTCGATATGTATATACTTTTGACTATAGCCCTTGTAAAATTCTCTCCTTTTTATCTCATTTCTTAAAACACTCCTCGGCCTGCTGCTTGCTTTTCGCTACACACTCCCTATCCTGCCCCTTTTTGTCATCAGCCTTCCATCCCTGCCTCCACCCCTGTAACATTCTTATCCACCTCTTTCTTCTCTTCACCCCCAGGGGGAACAAGCACTAATTATATACGCCAACTCGCCCAGAGAGATGAAACGTTTCTTGCGCCTAACTGCGAGCGACACGACCCAATGTCAGCTATTAGAAGAGAAATGAAGAGAGGTTCCCACGCGGAGAGACGCGTAAATTGAAAACTGCCTCACTCGGGGAATATGCATCTCATCGAGTAAGCCTTTCGCGCTAGAAAAGGAACGCTACGGTCCTCGATACCGCGAGCGAAACGTCGCCAAGTGACCAACTAAGGCCGAAATGTGATCAAGTCCGGTCAGACCAACGGTATGAACAGCGGGCACTGGAGGTGCCAACAGTTGATAGTGGCGGTGGCGAGTGATATTAGGAGTAGTAGTAGTGGTGGTGGTATTAGTGGTAGTAGTAGTAGTAATAGTAGTAGTAGTAATTGGAGAAGCGTTGGGAAGGATGCCCATACAGGAACTCCTAGGTGTGCGTGCGTGATAATTTTGCGTGCGTGCGTATTGGAAATAATATTGCATGTGGATTTGTTCCATAGGTTTAAAGAAGAGGAGAAAGATAGAATTTTAGTATTGTCTGTGTGACCGCCAATATACACGTAGGTTCTGTAAAGGTGAAGTCAGATTATGCAGGTGCAAACATCTCAATATATAATATATATATATATATATATAATTACGTTAAAATATTGTTTGTTCATAGATACGTGTGCACGTACAAACATGTATGTATAAAAATTGTATTTTGTATAGATTTTCTTTTCTTTCTTCTTTTTTTTTTTTTTTTTTTTTTTGAGATTCGCGTCATTTGCAGTTATACCGTATTAGGTAAGTTGCTAAACATAAAGCATAGTTCTAAAATGAGGTTAAATGTAGAAATGGGAAGATTATGTTACGCCAGTTATTCAAATAAAGAGGGTGGTCTGATTTTAAAAAAAACAGCATTCAAAACTCTTCTTACTTAGGCTTGAATTGTCGTAGATGAGAAAAATTAATAAGACTATATACCACTGATTGTACGCATTACATTACAATGAAAAAATAATGACTAAAGAAAGAATATTTTAGATTATTAAAGCGACTAGTAACCTACCTAACGTAAACGTGGACTGGGATAGATAACTAAATTCAAACCTGCGAGCTATAAAGATAGAAAGTCATGGAGAGTCATGATCGCCCACGTCCTGAAGAGACAAGAAGAAAATTACATTTTTAGTTCATAATATCCATGTTTCTTTGTGTACTTGCATTTTGAAGGCGTGAATTATTAATTTATTATTTATGTTACACAATTCTGCTTTTTAAACACATACAAGCGTCAGCAAGGGCACTTCTAATGGCTAGCAAGCCTGTCTCATTAGATCAATTATGATTAAGTAGAGTTCGATCTTTATTGGGTGCTCCACACATTAGGCCTTGTGACATACCTAAGTTACACATAGAAAATCGTCATGTGTACGTCAGTTAACTTACTCTGGTAGATAGGTAAGATCAAAAAAATTATTGTGCGAAATATACCTGCAATTAGTGGATACTTGCATACTCATAAAATAGTACAAAGTCTGTCATACGTCGTATTATTTCTACGCATACATGAGTATTACCTTTTAATACGTGCCTGTGTGTCTGTGCGCATGTGTCTATATGTTTTCTGTTTGTATGTCTATTGGTTGGTGGATAATCGATTTAGTTTGTATGGACGCAGGGGGCATACAAACGCACACACACACACACACACACACACACACACACATATACGCGCGGGAACACAGACAGAAATTTAACAACATATGAAGTTGTTGTATGCATTGTGGAAGCGTGCGTGTGTGTGTTCTCATAAAAGATGAAGATACTCCGATAATCATTCAGAGAAATAAATAATTTTTATCAATTTTACAGGTAAATTTCTTGAAATTACTTCCAACATTATGAGATAATAGGTTATGCTAAGTTTTTTTATACACACACACACACACACACATATATATATATATATATATATATATATATATATATATATATATATATATATATATATATAATCCAAGTGTATCCTAGTAATATAAAATATTAAAACTGATCCACAAAACGAGCTCAATATATTTACTATTACAGACCAAATAATTAATACACAATAAAATCCCAAATCACTTCATATGGGGGAATATACACACACACACACACACATATATATATATATATATATATATATATATATATAGATAGATATAGATAGATAGATAGATAGATAGATACATAAATAGATAGTGATAGATAGATAGATAGATAGATAGATAGATACATAAATAGATAGTGAAAGACAAATATATAGATAGATAGATAGATAGATAGATAGATAGATAGAGATATACTTCAGAATGCTATCGGTCGGCTCGACAATGAAGCCCTTCCCCAAAAATTCCGACGTTAAGTGAGATTTTGGGAAGTGGGTCTAACCGAAAATCTTTCACTACCCCTTCACACACACACACACACACTCATATATATATATATATATATATATATATATATATATATAATATTAATGGTAAATATACACATACATATGCAATCATATATCTAAAATATATAAATATATATACATACATACATATATATTTGAATAAAATTTTCCAAGAGGATAGAATCCAGGTAGAACTCAATGTCTAGAACAGAGTAAGAATATAGTAAAAAGGCTTAAACACTAATATACCATGGTCATAATTTATTCCATTGGAATCGTAAATACGATCCAATTCATCAGACCTATAAATTCAAAAATTCATAAATTTTAATATCATTTTTATATTCCTTTTCTTAAGAATAGTCTCTATTTTAAATATTTTTTAAAAATAACTTTAAAATAGAGACTATTTTTAAGAAAAGGAATATAAAAATGATATTAAAATTTATATACATCGCTCATTTTATCAGTCCACCTGCATGCTTCAGACCAACGAGAAAATGTTATTCAGACACAAGGTGTTGCCATGGGATATAAAATTTAAATTTATTCTTCTAGACTGGTTCTCCTATACTAAGGCTGGCTTTAAGGCCATATCACGTTGAAACACCGGTTCCCGTACGAACACCGAAGTTGAGGTTGATGAACACTTAGGAATATCAGGTGCTACAAGTTTGGATATGCAGGTAGTATAATGGATAATGGCTCGGAATTGTTAATCAGGGAGCAAATTAACAATTGCATACGTTATATTCACCTATGCGTAAATACCACCGTGAAAAGGTATGAATCCACCTCTTCTCCTCCAGCTATGGGTTAATTAGTAAGACTTGTATCAGTAAACATTTATTATCCCCCAAAACAAACAAAAAGCCTACAATCTAAAAATATTTTCTGGATTTAAATAACTTGCAAAGGGTTGATAAACTGCAAAAAATAAATCAATCAATAAAAAAAAGGTCTAAACAACTCAAATCTGTCTCGTGGAAAGAAGAGAGGAATGCATGCCTTTCCAAATGAAACAGGTTTGACAATTGCATTTTTCATACCAATGACCGTTGCACCAACCACAGGACTATATATATGTATCTGAGTGTTTGTGTTTGTGTGTGTGCAAATGCAAAATAATGCACTTGGTGATAACTATATATAAATCTGTTTATAATTCGCCCCTCACTTCCACCCTCTCTCCTCTTTCTCTTTCTTTGATAAATTGTTGTTCATAGGACCCTTTTTGTTCATAGATACGTTTTTTAAATTTCTACAAGATTCCCCAATATAGTGATTTTCCAAGCGTAGCTTAGATGTGACACAAGGCCGAAAATATGGGGCATCCAGTGAGGATCGGACACACTACTCAGTTGTAATTGTTCTGGCGAGACAAGTTTGTTAACCATTACACCGCCTCGAGGTGCCCGAAGATTCCCCAATATATGGTGAGGGACAATTCTGGCAAATTATCAAAATATATAATACATAATTTAATCATATTTAAGACATTTTTTATGTTTATACGTTCTTTTTATAAATAAAAATATAAAAATTTAAAAATATATAATTTAAAAAAAGTAAAATCGACCTTGCTAACCGAACGCTCCTCTGTGGCCCAATCGGTTAAGGCACGTCAGGCTATATGACGGTTCCTGTATACAGGTTCGATTCCTATCGGAGGACGAATATTTTCTGTGAAAATTTCTCGGACATTCAGGCCGGTAAATGTTGTTTATTACTGTTTATTATAAACAGAACATTTACTTAAATATTTGTATCTATAAAAAGAAGGTAAAAACATAAAAAATGTCTTACAATAATTGTTTTTTTTGTCCATTTCATAATGTATAACGTCATAACTTAATCTCAAACCAAAATAATTTAAATACCAATTTGTACGAAAAAAATAAAATAAAAAATATCACTTACTCACTTACACTTGTTAGATATTGAATTATTTTGCTTTGTGTCATCCATAATTTTCTTGACTTTTCACCTAACCTGTTGAATATTTATGAGTACTCCTATGCGTCAAAATTTTGAAAAATAACAATAACAATTTTTGGTATATATATATATATATATATATATATATATATATATATATATATATATATATATATATATATGTCTTTATCCATATTGAATTTTAACAGATATACTTTATCTGAAATTTTAACTCCCCCATATATATATATATATATATATATATATATATATATATGATTCGAAAATTATAACATAAATATGTTATAAAATCACTACAAAAATAGCCATTTTGTTTCAATACTTCTGGTGTCTTATCAAGTGATGGTGTGTTGAATCTAGAATAAAGAGCTTTGGGTGTTTGGTCAGTTTAAACCTTTTAAAACCCTTCGTTCTAAATTCAAAACAGACACCAGAAGTGTTGAAACAAAATGGCTATTTTTGTAGTGATTTTATAACATTTTTATGTTATAATTTTCAAATAAATGATATTTGTTCTACTTTGTATTGAATATTCTTTTAAGAATAGTATTTTGGTTATTGGAATTAATTCCTGTATAAACCAATCCTATAATTGCTTATATATATATATATATATATATATATATATATATATATATATGATTCGAAAATTATAACATAAATATGTTATAAAATCACTACAAAAATAGCCATTTTGTTTCAATACTTCTGGTGTCTTATCAATGATGGTGTGTTTAAGAATAGTATTTTTGGTTATTGGAATTAATTCCGTATAAACCAATCCTATAATTGCTTATATATATATATATATATATATATATATATATATATATATATATAAAGTTTCATTAAAGACAACTGACTAGATACTATGATGAAGCTTTTAAATCAAATTCTGATCTATTCGTGTAAATGTTTTCTTTTCTGAACATAAGTTCTGTAAAATTGTCCAAATGTTTATTATAAAAACTGTCTAAACCAAATTCATGAATAATTATATTGGACATACCACTACATGCTTATCAAGGAGAATCACTTTACATCTCAATGGCCATAGCTCAATTAAGACCCATTTAAACAGTCACGGAGACCTACTAAACTCCGTCCGCAGCAAACTCGTAGAAAATACGACTATAATAGCCTCATCCACATGTAAAGAAAAAAACAAACAGTTAAAAGTAATGGAAATATTAATAATAAAAAAGAACGCAAAATGTTCCGATCACTATATATAAAAATTTTACACATTCTCTTAAAAATAGGTAAATCAACATCCTCGATAATGGCTAATAGAATACCCGAAAACGCCCAGATATATTGAACATTTGGAGAATTTTTACACACTTTATGTCCAGAAACGAAAATATTTTGACGAACACAAGAAAAAAAATCTTCATTGCATTACCTAGTCAGTTGTCTTTAAAGAAAACTTGTATAAATATTAATTGCTGTCCAAATACACTTGAAACTTTTCTGTCTTCGCAATTCAGCCCTGATGATCATCTCGGAGGGGATAGAAAGTACTTGGCTTAACAAGAAGTACAAGGTCTTCCTTGGTGAATTTCAATTTAACATCAAGAAGAACAATTAGAGAATTAGAAATGATTATTATGAAAATAAATAGATATATGTCTAAACTATTTAATGAAAGATACATGAATGAAGATATGCTTCCTAAATATATATAAATATAAATATATATATGTGTGTGTATGTATGTATGTATATCGCACGAATATACAGTTACTAATATCTCGTTTTAGAAACTACACTTTTAGTTTATATATACACATATATATATATATAATCAAAGGTAGGTACATATGTATGACTTTGCATGCACGTACAAACATTTAAATGCATCCCTTCTCTCTTCTATACGAATGCGTTGGGATGAATCTAATCTTGAGTGCACGTGTTCCTTACTTAGTCGCATTGTTGTATCTGATGCACATGCCCATCCTAATTGTGCATACATAAACCTGGTCGCGTTGCAAAGCAGAAAGTCGGAATGGTTGATCTTTATAGCGGCAGAAGATTTTTATTGTTTACGCTTGATTTGTGTCATTTGGCAACCTTCAACAGCGGATAATCTTTCAATAAAAGTGGGAACGACACATTTGGTATCGCTCAAGTATTACAGACCATAAATATCTATTAATTTTTTTTTTCGTTATAAAATTAAAAAAGAGCGAGCATCTTTGAAAAACATAATTCGAGTAGCAAAAGATGCCTTAGAAAAGCTAAGCAGAGTATCAAGAAACAGATAACTTCATTAGAAACTTCATTAGAAACAAAGAAAAGAATACGAAAATTTCTGTAATATCTGTCCTCCTATAATGGCAGCAAATACTGGACAATCTCCTCACAGATGAAGAGGAGACTTGAAGCAGCAAAAACAAAAAAAAAAAGAGTACTGAACTGTTGTGTAGTGTAAGTCTTACTATATGACAGTGGATGCTGGACAATCTCCTCTCAGATGAAGAAGACACTTGAAGCAAGAGAAACAAGAAAAGAGTACTAAATTGTTATGTAATATCAGTCCTCCTATATGGCAGTGAATGCTGGACAATCTCCTCACAGATAAAGAAGAGACTTGAAGCAACAGAAACAAAGAAAAGATTACTGAACTGATATGTAATATCAGTCCTCAAGTATGACAGTGAATACTGACAATCTCTTCACAGATGAAGAAGAAACTTGAAGCAAGAGAAAGAAAGAAAAGATTACTGAACTGATATGTGATATCAGTCCTCCTATATGGCAGTGAATTTCAATTTAATTTTTTTCAGATGAAGAAGAGATTTAAATCAACAGAAACAAAGAAAAGAGTACTAAATTGTTATGTAATATCAGTCCTCCTATATGGCAGTGAATGCTGAACAATCTGCTCTCAGATGGAAAAGAGACTTGAAGCAAGAGAGAGAAAGAAAAGAGTATTGAACTGTTATGTAATATCAGTCCTCCTATATGGCAGGGAATGCTGGACAATCTCCTCACAGATGAAGAAGAGACTTGAATCAAGAGAAACAAAGAAAGGAGTACTGAACTGTTATGTAATATCATTCCTCCTATATGGTAGGGAATGTTGGACAATCTATTCACAGATGAAGAAGAAACAAAGAAAAGAGTTCTGAACTCTTATATAATATCAGTCCTCCTATATTGCAGTGAATGCAGGACAATCTCCTTATAGATGAAGAAGAGACTTGGAGCAAGAGAAACAAAGAAAAGAGTACTGAAATGTTATGTAATATCAGTCCTCCTATATTGCAGTGAATGCAGGACAATCTCCTTATAGATGAAGAGACTTGAAGCAAGAGAAACAAAGAAAAGAGTACTGAACTTTTACGTAATATCAGTCCTCTTATATGGTAGGGAATGTTGAACAATCTATTCACAGATGAAGAAGAGACTTGAGTTAACACAAATATAATTATACAGGGGTATGTTAAGAATATCATGTACTGAACATGTAATTAGAAATTTCTTGAAAAATAAACAAACAGAAAAGTAAGGGCGCCTAGAAAAATTGACACTCACAGCACATATTTAAGTTAAGGTGCAAAAAGGAAAGCAGTGAATAACCTGCTTAACGATCTGACAGAACAGGTATTAGAAGTTATAGGACAAAGAGAAATCTTACTAAGAGGTACAAAGTATAGAAAATTGTGGAGAACAGTGACGTCTTGAACATGACATATAAAAGAAACAAGATATTATAAATACAGCTAGTACTAAAAGTGTTGTCTTTAATTTCGAAAATAGTCATAATCGGAAAAACATTTTCGGAAAATTTAATTTCTTTTAAATTAACAATAATTGGAAAACGTTTGGGTAATAATGGTTGGCAATGATACAAATGAATGAAAATAAAGTCAAAATTAAGATGAAAGTAAATAATACACAAAGCAAATAACAATAGAGTTTAAAAAAAATTAAAAATGCACTAAAAATAATATTTGAATATTCATGTTAGATTTATTTCACAGTGAATCGTTCGTAACAGACTCGATTTAAATAACTAGTTGGATGAGTGTGTTCCTTAAATCTGATAATTCCTTAAATCTAATAATTCCTT